GAGGGAGAAGCAGACTCCCTGCCAAGCAGGGAGCCCGATGCGGGACTCGATCCTGGGACTCCAGGATCATGACCTGAGCCGAAGGCAGTCGCTTAACCAACTGAGCCACCCAGGCGCCCCATATATGGTGGCTTTAATTAAAAAATAGTTGAATATGTGTCAGATACATAAGGATCCATTTCAATCTCCTAAACTATTTATAATCCGGTTTTTGTATTTGTAATACTATGAAGTATGTACGTTTAAAATAATGACTCCATGATTAGATGGATAGAGATAAATAGGAATTTATCAGGAATAATTCAGGAAGTAATTAAGGAAATAATTTAGGACAAAATATTGAATGTCTCTTATATACTAGATATTATGTTAGGCTCTAGGAATACCAGTTAATAGAAAAAGATATCCCAAAATGTCAGCCCAAGGAATAAGAGGAAAAGGATCATATAGACCACCCCAAGCTTTTGCCTGATGATGGATGGATATTTAAATTTTCCATCACCATGCCAAAGAATATTTCTTCTCCCTTCCTACTACTTCTAGTACCAGTAACATTGTGAAATGATTAAATAAATTTGTAGTGAAAGGGAGTATAAAGTCAGGTAGAGTGAGGAAACAATATTGAAAAGAAGAAATTGCATATGGAATGATTATCCAGAATCTTCTGTTAGTTAAAAATACCTAGTTAAGATTTCCATTCATATATGTATGTTTTTGACATGATAATTCAGTGACACCTAGTATGAAATTTGGATGTTACTGTTTTTGAAATACCTTTGAGAATTTAGTAAACCTACTTTTCTGTGCTTACTGTATAATCTAGGATGTTGAGCATTCTAATAAATAAGAGCATAGCTATGAGTAAGAGTTCTACTTGTATGCTCTCAAATACATTTAGACCATTGATACTAGGTAGGTTATTATCAGTAATAGAAATTTTGTTTTCCATGTCTTCATTTTAATTTTAGGTGAGAAGACATTTTTTTTTCTCTTTTGATAACCATAATGTTACTATGAAGTTTGAGGAATAAAAGTAAACCAGTGGAGGGTAAATCTTTTCTATGAGCAGATGGCTTTTGGTATATCAAGGTTTTGCCATTTGTTTTAGTGCTTAAAATAAACATTATTTATAAGACCACTTACATTTTGATGTTACTTAATGAGGAATATGCATCATTGATTTGACTAGCTTAAGAGGTCATTTAGAACTTGCCCGTTAACAAGCTGTAATCTGCTGAGCACACAATGACTTTGTTTAAAATTATCTATTCAGAGCTGATCAATGACAATAATTGTTTTATACCAATCACTTCTGAAAGTTGCTAATTACTTTAAAGGACATGAATACTAGCCTTTTTTTTTTTTTTTTGAAGTCATAACCCATTCACCTTGAAATTAAGAAATGTTATAAAAAGTCATCTTGCCTCTTGAAAGAACTTTTTTTTTTTTTAATTTAAAGTTGATTCACTAGTACTGGGACATCAATAGGAAATTTAGGCAAAATTACAGATGTCATTTGTTCTTATAAGAGAAAGTATAGTAGAATCTCCACTGTATTCTATCTTCTATCAATTAGGGATTGGTTAAACTGGACTCCTTATAACATAGGAAAATGGAATCTTTTAAATGAAAGAACACATACACATACTTTTTCTTCTTATGTAGTTCATCTATAAGATGTTTTAGTGGAAAGAGTCTGGGCTTTTGAATAAGACAGAGCTGGGTTTGTATCCTGACTTTGCCGTTTATTCTTTTACTGGTTATGTGAACTTGATCAAATTCCTTAACCTCAGTTTCTTCATTTTTAACATGGAGATCATGCCTCATGCACAAGGTTAGCATGAGAATTAAAGCAGTTAATGTAATACCTGGCACATTCATGAGCTTCCCTTTCCTGGATGGCAGCATCTTCACCCGGTCAAACATCCAGTTTCTTTCTACTTTTACCTACTTAACTCTAGCAAAGCCATTTAAAGATTGATTATCAATCAATATTATTAATGTGGATGAGTTTTAATTTGTTACTTTAACCATCACTTGCTCAGTATGTGTTTTTTTTTTTTTTAATTTTTTAAGATTTATTTATTTATTTGAGAGAGAGAGAATGAGAGAGAGAGAGAGAGTACATGAGAGGGGGGAGGGTTAGAGGGAGAAGCAGGCTCCTCGCCGAGCAGGGAGCCCGATGCAGGACTCGATCCAGGAACTCCAGGATCATGACCTGAGCCGAAGGCAGTTGCTTAACCAACTGAGCCACCCAGGCGCCCCGCTCAGTATGTGTTTTAATACCCAATTCTGAATAAAAGGATTTGTCTTGGAAAGGAATTTTAGCCTGCCTTTGAGTAGATGTCTAGGGAGGTTGGATATTAGAAGATCCCCTGATAACACACCAGCTATAGACTCTGGAGGTGGTTGGTGCTGTTTCTAGTATTTGCCTGGTTTGAAGTGGGAGGGAGTCCATGCCGCTGGCTTCCTCAGGTATCCTTCCTATTGACATGGATTCAATTTTAGCTTTGTCCTTTCAGACTTCTTTTCTCAGAATGGGCATACACGCTGCCCTAGTGTGACCTAATCATGAATCAACATCTTTTCTTTTTCCTTCTCAGTGATCCAGCATGCATCGTTTAATCTTATTTGATTTAGAATTTAATGATGTTTTTATTTTATAAGTAGTTCCTACCTTAACACTATATGATATCCTAATATTTTCCCATTTTTCCTTAGTCAATTCTGTTGCTAATGATGGATTTTCTGTCCGTACTTTTGTTTGAAAGTGTTCTCTTTTTTCGTTGTATGACTGTACATGAAGTAAAAGCATGGTGTAATATTTGAAGCTATCCCACCAGCTCTATGACCGAAAGCAATGATTTAACCTCTCTAAGTATCAATGTCCCCTTCTATCAAATGAGACTAATAATAATCTCTACCTCAAAATGATATTGTAATGATTAAATTAGATGAGCCAGGAAAATATTCACTTATTTGCATATATGATTTATATACATATACACATTCCAACTGATTATTCTTTTTCATTAGGAAAGTGGTTTGTATCAATTCCTCACCTTTCTTTGTCAGCTCTAATACAGTTTGGTCAAATTAGAGGGAGATAGTTTCTAAAATGAGTATATAACTTTAAAAAAATAATTTTTCTTATTTAATGAATTTCTAAAATAAGATCACTTGAAAAATATTTGGAAAGGTGCATTTTATAACATTGTTACACTAGCTTGCTTTTCTACTTGTTGTTACTTTCTAGAATTATCTCTGATTTAATTGTTCTTACAAGCTATTTTGCATATCTTCAATGGTTTTAGTCATTCTCATACTGGGAGATTGACTAAAACAGTTCTTCAGAATTTTCATGTACTGTATTTCAGATTGTAAAATTAAATGATCATGTTTTAAAACATGGAAAAATATAGAATACAAGTAAAACATTTTTCTGTTTATTCTTATAGATCCAGCTTTCAAGTTATAAAAAATTTTAGGCTCAACATATTTAGTTTAAAAAGAATAGGCTTTTGGGATAAAACCCAATGGATAAGTGTAGAGAGTCTATATTAATCACCCTTTGCTATTTAAAAAAAAATGTTTAGAAAAGGTGTGTGTTCCTAGCTTAGCTAACTGTGCAAAACATTGGAAGGACTTCATATCCAAAAAGAGAATCATTCATAATATGTGAATAATTCAAAAATACATATAAACTGCCATAAAATTGTAAGGAATTAAGGGTTAACTTTTTTTTTTCATCTTTTGCTGTTTTTTCTTCCTCTACTCCTTTAAAGAAGTTGTGGGGGGGGGGTTTGTTTGTTTTTGTTTTCCACAAAAATAAGATCTATGCATTATATTTTTGTTTTGAGTTTTGAGTTTGTCTATTAGAGATGATATTAGCAAAGATAAAACATAAAGAGATTGATTTCTCGTGATTAATGGAGCATAATAAGGCAAGGAGTAGCCCACATAAATTTGTTCTCTGAGACCCCCTCCCCATACTCCTTTCGTCTAAAAAAACATAGGTGCTTTCAACAGAAATGTTTATTCTTTGAAAATTGCATTTCACTCTGTTTCCAGTTCTGTATTTTAGTGGTTTAGAAAATGAGCTCTAAAGTCCTAATGTAATTCCTAGATCCATCACCAATGGCTATAAAATTATGAAGAAATTATATAAGTTCACTATTTAGCAGTTTTCTCATCTGTAAATAAGATGATAAGAATATTTCTCATAGGGGGCGCCTGGGTGGCTCAGTCGTTAAGCATCTGCCTTCAGCTCAGGTCATGATCCCAGGGTCCTGGGATCGAGCCCGCATCGGGCTCCCTGCTTGGCAGGAAGCCTGCTTTTCCCTCTCCCACTCCCCCTGCTTGTGTTCCCTCTCTCGCTGTGTCTCTTTCTGCCAAATAAATAAATAAAATCTTAAAAAAAAAAAAAAGAATATTTCTCATAGGGGTATTCTAAAGATTAAATGCATAAATACATGCAAACTGCAATACATCTACCTCACACATAATAAAACAATAAATGTTAGCTATTGTTATTAAGGAAGTATTAAAATATCATGATGAAGATATAAGATAACATTTTGTTTAAAGATTTTGAAACCATCAAATTTTAAAAGCCCATTTGAAAATTGATTTTAATGAGACCAAATATAATCTTCAAGTCAGTGGTTTATGAAAAATAAAAAATCATTTTGTCAGGAAGTTGAAGTGGTAGAGATTGATAAAACAAATTTTTAATTGTTCAGTAGTTAATTTCACATTTAGTGTTTGTGAAAAATTATAAATTTTTAAAAATCTAATAACCTCTAAATATGTTTTGTCTTTATAATATTTTATAATCTAAGTACACTCTACATTTGCAACTATATATACTGTTAGTGGGAAAGCCTAAAACTTTATTTGATGTGAGTTATCATCCATCATTACCTTAATTTTGAAGAACTGTTAATGTTTTCACTAAAAATGCTCACTGGTATATTTTATCTTTTAATTTACTTCAATAGATTCAGAGGCGATGGCGAGGCTATAGGATTCGGAAATACTGCTTTAATTATTTTTATTTGAAGGAGTACCTGAAAGCTGTTTCAGAGACCAACGATGCAATTAGGTGAGTATTCTACTAGTGATAATCTCAAAAAGGTTACTTAATAGATGTTGATCATTACCATACTTAGGAATACTTGCTAGAACTCAGTGATATTTTATTTTATTTTTTTTAAGATTTTATTTATTTATTTGAGAGAGAGAGAATGAGAGACAGAGAGCGCGAGAGGGAAGAGGGTCAGAGAGAGAAGCAGGCCCCCCGCTGAGCAGGGAGCCCAATGTGGGACTCGATCCCGGGACTCCAGGATCATGACCTGAGCCAAAGGCAGTAGCTTAACCAACTGAGCCACCCAGGCACCCTCTCAGTGATATTTTAGATAGAAATTTATTGATAAGATAGAGACATATGATTCTATTTACCTTAAAATTTATTGTTGTCATATTTTTAAATATATTGTACTTTTGACTATAAATTAGATTATTTATGTGTTCAGTAGGCCTCTCTGATTCTATGCAAAATAGTTTTGGTAAAATTATCTCATTTTGAGATGGATTTATCTGTAAAATGATTCCATAGATGAAGATTTAAAGTATGATAAGCCTCAGATGTATTTTGAGAAATATGATCAATAGTAAGAACTTGCCTCTCAAAGGAGAAAATATCATGGAACATAATTAAAATGGACTGCTTACTATCAGCTTTTGTTTCTTTGAACACATAGAAAGCACCTGGATTTACATCATAGGATGATGTCTTTTGTAGATTTATGCAAAGTCAAGCTATTGCAACACTATTCAGTCAACTTTACCAAAGCTCTATGTGTAAGTTTTCATATAACTTCAAATAATATAGTTTTTTTCCCCTCTTGTAATATGCCCCATTCTAATAACATGTAAGTGACCATCGACTTATAGTATGTTTAGATAAAAAAGAAATAGCAACTAAAAACAGTTGCCATTTATGTAATTGTTTTAGGTTTTTTTCACATACCTTATCTTATTTTACTCTTAAAATTCTTTGAACTAGAGAGAACAATTGCACAATAAATTATTAAAATAAGATTTTTGCCTGAGACCCTAAAGTTACACATATTATAAGAAATATCTGAAAACTGATTTTTCTAACTTTTAAATTTCTCACGTATGCTGGGTACATAAGAGGATCTGGTCTTTGAAAATTAAGTGTTGGGTATTTGTAAGGTTGATTTTTTTGGAAACCGCAATAAAAGTCTGGGAGGGTTGCAGTAGGTTTTGGTCAGTTGGAGAAGTTGGAAAACTCAGAAACATGTGGATGCCAGGGGACTGCTGTTTAATTTCTTCCTTAAGAAATCAAAGGTCCTAGCGATGGGCTGGCTTTCTGCAAATGGCAGGAGTGAGCCTGCCCGTAGGAAAGAGCTAGCAGAATATGCAAGAGAGGGAATTTGTGCCGGGCTAGGACTAAGGTGAGATAAGTGAGGCTCTTAAGGCACAAAAGTTGAAGAGGTGCTTACTAGCAGGGCCATGCAGGTGCCAACCCTGCACTTTTACAACCCCAAGAGGGCATCCTTAAATTGTACACTGGAGAGGCCTTTCTTGCTTCACTCTAGCCCATCACTGATAGGGGAAAGTCCTCAAAGAGACAAGTATGTGAAAGGCTGGCTTTGTAAAGGCCTATATCTTCTATCGGACAGGTATTTCCATTCATCTTTGTTTTCTTCCTGATATTACTGTGTATATCTCTAGTTACTAGGGAAGCTGGTGTATCAGTGCTGACAATTTGCTTTAGCCACGCAGTTGGTGGTGCAGGAGGCATTGCTGACAATCTTGAGGGACTTGTCATATTTCTCATGATTCATGCCAATCACAAACATGGGGGCATCAGCAGAAAAGATGACCCTCTTGGCTCTGCCCTTTAAGCCCCAGCCTTCTCCATAGTAGTGAAGACACCAGGGGATTCCTCAATGTATTCAGCACCAACATCACCTCATTTGATGTTGGCAGGATCTCTCTCTCGGAAGATAGAGAAGGGCTTTTTTTCCATTGCTGACAAGTTTCACATTTTTAGCCTTGACTGTGCCATTGAATTTGCCATGGGTGGAATCATACTGGAACAAGTAGATTGTGTAGTTGATGTCAATGAAGGGGTCATTGATGGCAACAATGTACACTTTGCCAGAGTCAAAAGCAGCCTTGGTGACCAGGCACCCAATATGACCTTCACCATTGTGTCTTGGTGATGTGGCTAGCACTACACAAGAAGATGGAGCTGTCTGTTGATCTAGGAGGAGCAGAGGAGATATACTAATATTAAACCATCATTTTGTGCTAGAAATATCTCTAACTGAGCCATTGTTATTCTTTTGATTTATTAGTAAATTGTATCAGTATTTTATATAGGATATTTATATCCACTTTTGTATGCTTGATTAGATGTAATTTTCTTTCCTGTGTTATAATTTGCAGGTATTGTTATCACGTTTTTGCTATATTTATTAGATGAACTGAGAAGATTATATGGCATGGAGATTGGAAAGGAAAAATAGTACTCTGTTTTCTGTCTACTCAATACTCAATACTTCTGGTCACCAAATGTGTGGGTTTTCCATGCCAAGCAATATCAGAGCAGCTAGATGTCCTATAATTTAATTCAATTCTAAAACTACTTATCTGGTGATAGTGTCATATCCTACAGGTTAAGGGCTCAGTCCCATAAGACTGTCTCCCTTCCCACCCCCATCCAAACTGTAGATATCAATCACAAGTGTTATGTCCCCAGTTTACCCACAACTTCTGTCCAACTTGGCTACAAATCAGAGATTCCTAAGACCTCCTCCCCAAGATCAGTCGTCTGCTAGAACTCCTCGAGAACTCTGGAAAATGGCTTATTTATTACATTACTGGCTTATTATAAAAGGATAAAACTCAGAAACAGCCAGGTGGAAGAGACGCATAGTGCAAAAGATGGGGCTGGCAGGCCATCCCCCTAGTATGGCCATGTGTTCAGCAACCCAGAAAATCTCTGAATTCTATAGGTTCAGGGATTTTTATAGAGGCTTCCTTAGCTAGGTATGATTGATTAAATCTTTGACCATTAGTGATTACTTCAACTTCCATCCTCTCTCCCCTCCAGGGATGTTGGAGGTGGATGGGGTGGAGCTTAAAGTCCCAACCTTCTAATCACATGATTGGTTCTCCTGGTAGCCAGCTCCATTAGATGCCAAAAGACACTTAACACTCTGAGGAAATTTCTAGGGTTTTGGAATGGGGTGCTGTAAAAGACAGTGTTGGGGAACAGCGAAAGGAGTGCTCTGGGGCTGTTAGGAAGTCTTCTTGGCTCAAAGTATAGCCCCACACATAATATGTACGTATATCTATGTATGTGAACTGGTTTAGCTTTTGTTTTGTTTTGATAGTAATTGGCAGCTCTAGGACTGCTTATTGCTTTAACACTCTTAGAGATCTATAGCAAAGATAGCATTCCTGTGCATTTCCTCGTTTAGTCCAATGTCCCCTGCCACTCTGACATACAGTTCAGGAAATCTGCCACAGTTGAGTTTTGCTCTCCAATATTATTCCGAGCAAGGAGGGCATTGCTGTTTTTTCTTCTAAGTATGCCACCTATTTTTAGGAATTTTGCACCTGGCAGTCTCTCTCTGAAATCTGCATCTTAAGGTGTCTTGTCTCCATGACATCTCTAATACTGGTTGAATTTTCACTACTCTTGGTGGCCCTTCTTCATATATATTACTCTTAAGTGTTTCTGATTTTACCAACGATAGGGTTTCCTTTTCTTTTCTTTTTTTTTTTTTTTAAGATTTTATTTATTTATTTGACAGAGAGAGACACAGCGAGAGAGGGAACACAAGCAGGGGAGGTGGGAGAGGGAGAAGCAGGCTTCCCGCCGAGCAGGGAGCCCGATGCGGGGCTCGATCCCAGGACCCCGGGATCATGACCTGAGCTGAAGGCAGACGCTTAACGACTGAGCCACCCAGGCGCCCCTCCTTTTATTTTCTTATTGCCTTTCTTATTTTATGGAAGTTTAAGAGAGGAAGGGGTAGAGAGATATTTACTCCACTGTCTCAAAATTGGAAATATATAGGTAACTTTTTTTTTAAGATTTCATTTATCTATTTGACAGAGGGAGACACAGCTAGAGAGGGAGCACAAGCAGGGGGAGTGGAAGAGGGAGAAGCAGGCTTCCCACAGAGCAGGGAGCCTGATGTGGTGCTCGATCCCAGGACCCTGGGATCATGACCTGAGCTGAAGGCAGATGCTTAACGACTGAGCCACCAACTGCCCCTATAGTTAACTTTCTAGTATAAATCACAATCTGTTTTACTTTCTGTTACATATGCAGTTTTATAAATGTAATGAAAGGATGCTACGGGGTACCATAGAGGAAACACAGAAGAGGAACATCTAAGGCAGATCGGTGTTGGTCAGAGTAGGAGTGGGAGTCTGGGGATTAGGGACATTTCTCAGAGGCTGTGAAACTGAACCCTGAAGGTTGTGCAGAAATTAGGACATTTACACAGGAAATCTCACTGAAGTTGATGTGTGGAGGATGATAGAAGGTTTGGTTAAAGATAAGTCCAGACAGTTTAGTAGGAACCACATCATAACAGGGCATTTTAGACCATGTTAAAGAGTTTGGATGCTATTCTGAGAACTTTGGAGTAGACTTCCCTTTTAAGAAGAGTGGCGGCATGATTACATTTGTGTTTTGGCATGCACATTTGATTGTATTTTTCATAATATTTATATTTAAATAGTCTGGTGATTATTAAAAGCATCATTAGGGTCATTAATTTTACTAGGTGGTGGTGTTTTCCTTCTCATAGAAGAACATATATAACACATTTATGTGCATTATTTCTTCACATTTCTTTATTCTATTTTTCATTGAGAATCATTGGAATCAGGACTCTAGTTATCTTTTCCTGCATTACAAATTACACTCAAAGCAGCTTAAAACAGTACACACTTAACAGCTCATCACTTTATCAGCCAGGAATCTGGAAGGGGCTCCATGCCTAGACTAAGGTCTCTCATGAGGTTGTAGTCAGGCTGTCAGCCAGAGCTGCG